AAAAAAAAAAAAAAAAAAAAAACAAAACAAAACAAAGGAAGATTCATAATCATGGGGTACCGAATATCCATGCTCTCCTTACCTTGGAAAATATTTGTCATCACAAAAACTGAAAAAAGGAGTGAGGGGGACAAGAAAGGTGGAGAGGGAGATGCATCAAGTGGGTTTTACAAAGAGACACTAACAGAGCTCTGTTGGCAGTATGCCCACCTCCATGAAAATAAGGCCCGCAAGAAAAAGAATTGAAATTTTGGGAGGTGGACAGAATGCCAATAAACTCTGTAAGAAGCCCTTTGCTAAACCCACATGAAACCAGAGAAAAATCAATCCTTGTATTCACCGTTGAAAGACACACATACTGTGGATATCAGGGTGATATTGGGGAAGGGGAAGATGGGGTTAGTTCTATTTAAGATGCAGTGAAGGGAAGGGAGTGGTATAGTAAATAAGAGAGAGAAGTGGTGGAGGGTGGGGGATGAAGATGGGTGTAATTAATTAAAGAGAGAGAGTGGGCTGCGGGAAGGAAGGAAGGAAGAAGAAGGTTTTTTTTTTTTTTTTGGGTTAGAAAATCAGATTTGAGATGGGATGGTTCATACCCTACTAGGGGAGGGCAAATTTAGAAGGAACAAAGGATAATCATGATCACGTTTATTCTTTCTCTTCTCTCGAAAACACACATCTTCTCTCCTGCAAGTCTTTTTCTCTTGCGTTTCCTCAACCCCTTTTCAGTTTTCCTCCCCTCGTTTTTGATGAAGTACTCAAGAGAAAGAGTAGGGGTTTGGGTTTTTGGTAGCTAAAGAGATAATGACAAGATTTGAGAGAAATCGGTTTCGATTAAAATGCAGTTTTTGTTCAAGGGCCAAAACCTAGATTTGCAACCACTTTTTTGAGACTTCCGTTTCGTTTATCCCCTCTCGCAGCCTTATGGGGGCTATCTGTCATCACACTCGCACCTTTCTGAAATTTCTTTGTCTTCTAGATTTTTCAGTTTTATGAGTTTATTTTACAAATCAAATTATAATTGAAATTATTGGAAGAGTTTACATTCTCTTGGCTGTTGTGGTACGTATTGTATAATTTTATAGGAATTTTTTTTTTTGAAAAAAAGCAATTGGGGGAAAAAGGGAACAAAAAAGCTGGTAGTACGTTAGAATTTTGATATTTGTCAAGAATTTAGTATATTTAAGTCACTGCAGTGAAAGTTGCGGTGCTATAAAATTATTAATTAATAATTTAAATTTTAAGATTAATAAAAATAATTACTTTTTATTATATAATTTATTATTTAACATATAAAAAAATACATATTGTATAATATTCTTTTAATATTCTTTTATGAACTTTTTCTTATATCAACTCACCAATAAAAATGAATGTATAGAAATACCATTCTAAATCAACCATGATATTGATCATGATATAAAATGAAATCTTTGAAGATTTCATATAAAAAAAAATTGTTCTCCATTGAATTTAATTTGAGGTGGCATTGGTTTTTCTTATTTTACTTTATTTCTATTTTTTTTGTTTTATATATATATATATATATATATTTGAGATGAATGACGAATCAATCTAGGACTTCAACTTAATGATGCTTTTGGGTCTATGACAAAAATTAAAACCTCATAACTTAGAGATTAATTATATATAGGATCTATTCCTGCTTTATGCAGGTAATTTTGTTTAGTATTTTTCTAAGATTTTTTAGTTAGTTAGTTTGTTATTTCCTGTAGTTTCTCCTTCTTCTTATTAGTTGTGATGTATTTGCATATTATATGAACTTTAGGTAATTTGTAGTGTATATACATGTACTTCACATAAAAAAAATTAAGACTTCATTCCTCAATGCATCAATAATGCAAAATTATTTGAGGCTACAAATTTGAATCATTCTAGTACAACTTTAGTCTAATTTAATTAATATTGATTTTATATATGTAAATCATATTAATCATATTTATTGTGTTATGACTATAACAATCAATTAATTTAAATAATTAACTAAAAAGCCATAAATAAATCATAGGAAATGTGAATGAGATTAGTAAAGTGACAATATTAGAAAGTTGCCCCATTGAATTAAACTACAAAATTCAAGTACTCATCTCTCTAACTTCTATTCATGTGAAAAAGACATGTTCAAAAATCAATGAGTGAGCAATAAGTGCTTTTGTTTTACTACTAGAGCAACAACCATTTACACCAAAGTTAAAGGAATTTAATACCTCTAAAGCCAATGTAATCAATCCACCCAAGTAATAAGTCAAGTAATAGAACGGTAAGAATGACTATTTTTCTCTTCAAAAGCTCAAACACATGAAGAGGAAATTGACTCATCCACACCACCTCCACCCAGAAGAGAGGTTGGTGTGGAGGAGCCAACTTCCAATTTATGGGTCCTACAGTCCTACTATTGCACCACTAAGTGTGGAATCCTAGGTCCTTTGCAGAAGAAGCTTCAAAGTTCAAACAAATACCCTTTTGACCTATTAAGCCACCTCTAAAACGAGATTAAAAAGTTGTTAGACATAGGTCAAAATCTTCACCCATTAAAATATCATTATTATTCCTTTTTTCTTTTTCTTTTCTTCTGCAGCTGCTTTTTCCATTGATTTAACTACACATCCCACATCCACACTCCCAAAAAGAAAAAATGAAAATCAGAAAATCATATGAGAAGGAAAGAGAGAGAAACGGGAAGAAAATGAAATCTTTCCTTTTGTCGACTGATGCGTCGCACTCATCACTCCCACGAACCTACGGTCCTTGAATCTTGTGAATGTTTTTTAAATCCGTTCTTTTTGCAGAAAATGTTACAAATTCAATTCAGTCCTACATGCTCAAGAGATACCAGTAGTATTGATCAATGATTGTATATGAACGCTCCCCTCATTATCCAAAATAAAAAATATAAGAAGGATTTCATTTTACTTAATAGATTATGCAAGTTAATGTGAATTTAGCTGTTTGATATTAGATTTAATTGATTTAATTTAATCAACTAATTCAATCTAACTCAATTATTATGGATGAATCATTTTTAATTTTTAAATCAATTTAATTTAATTTTTTTTACGACAAGTTATAATCCCATAACTTATTAAAAGACATAATTATAAGTTAATTTCTTAAATTTATAAACTCATTTTACCACACTAAAGTCTATATACCACTTGATATACGATATTATAATTTGAAATAAAATTATAAGTGCTTCTATAATTCCCTCTTGTTTCAATTTACTTATCAAACTTTTATCCGATAGAAAAAACCAAAAAATTCACAAAGCACAATTATTATTGATTAAAATTTTATATTTATCTTTCTTTGACTTTCAAAAGTAGGCGGGAAGTTGGGAAATTTGACAAACTTTTTTTTTTTTTTTAATAATTTGTTAATGACGGATTCAAACCTACCAAGAAGGGGAATAGTACACCACAATATGACAAAATATCATTTGACCTGAAGGGACTTGTGCTTGACAAACTTTTTTTAGGTAAAAATGAAATTTAAAAGTATAATAATTGTGTTTTTAATTTTTGTTTTTAAACTTCTCTTTTACAACACTATATAAAGGTGTAATAACTAAAATGCATGAAGATAGCATTAATTACTGTACATAATGTATTGGTATTTATGAAAGCAGTCCATACACTTCTCTATTTATTGCTATTAAAACTACCCCCAACCATACTCAATTAATTTTTACAGTTCAAAATTTCAAATATAAACACAGAAAGGCATCAGAATCCCTAGAAGTTTTTTCCTTTTTATTGATAAAAAAATCCCTAGAAGTTTCAGAGACTGGTTTTGATGACTTTGTTTGTTCTACACCTCATTCGGTTTCTCAGGACCATGAGTGAATCATTGGGACAGTGAAAAGAAGTTTTAAATTACACTTTTCACTAGATTGGAATACATCAAAAGATTCATATCCTTTGTTTATATTGTTAGAAGAAAACATTCTACTTCTCTTCAGACTCTACTGTCTATTATGTTGCAAATATTAATGTTGAGGGAGAGGCTGGTTTACAGTGCATCAATCTTTGCTGTCAAATTGAACATTGGAATTAATGTAGATTCTCAACAAGGTAACATTAGACAATAAGGCATCAATGTATAGTGTTTATGTCTGGTAGTAGCTAATCAATTAACCCCAAGGGCAATATGTACTGTAGTGCTTAATGATCTTGGACCAAATGGGTACACAACTGGATTCCAGAGCCTAATCTCATTAAAATTTCTGTAATGTTCAGGGATATTTTTAAGAAATTGGGCTGTAGCCTCGGATGTTCTTCCTTTTAATTTGTGAATTACACAATCAGAAGTAACTATCACTAAATAGAGAGCCATTAGAAGAATACACATTATACCATCAAAGCACAAATCATTCACGGACAAAATTAGATCTCATGCCTGCCTGCAAAAACAAGAAATTTTAGGTTAAAATCCTGTCGAGTACGTACATGCATGCTTCTTCGTTATAAATTTGTCTTGTGACTCTGTAATGTCATAATTGACCTATATACCATAATACGATAAGGATTATAACTTAAAAACAAATTCGCGGCAAATTAAATTTGGTGACCTCCCAGGTCCTAGCTAACATACTCCTCATTGGGATGGTAGGAAGAACTTCCCTACTCAGTAGGAACTGCAGATCGTGGATTGCTTTGAAATCTTGACTATTTGCTGTTCTAGCTAATAGACAATTAAAGTAGTATATGATGGTGGGTTTAGGTTTTCCTTTAGCCACTTATTTTGTTCACATGCAGTCTGGCCCTGAAAAGAAAAAAGGGAACATGGTGAGGATGATCATAGCCAAATTCTAGGATAAGTACTTTTTGAAATCTGGCATCATTTGACATAAAGAATTCAAGCAGAATTCTATATCACTTTTTTGGTACATCAGGAATTTTTATAAAACTTTTTCCCTACTTTTAGTTTAATACACACAAAAATAAGCTTTGGGAAGAAAGTTCATGCCCTTTGTTCCCTGCCCTCTGTGCAATTTCAAGTGTGTATCAACTTTTATCCTCCGTCTATAAGCTTTTGTTTCCTTTTATGAAAGCTTTTTCTGCATGGTGGAATGGTGGGGACTTAGTTTTCTGTTTGTGAATTAGTGGCTTTTCCTCAGAATTCTTCATATAAAGAGAAACATACATAAACCATGCGCAATGAATGTTGAGATTTTACCTCAAATCACCATATACAAACAAAAAGAACACAACAATTACGTGGTTCAACTGCTTCTTCTCTGAATCAAAATTTATGTCCACAGGAAAGAAAAAAAAAGTACTAATTCAGTAATTAAGAACGAGTGTAATGTGGAAGCAATTTCTCACTACAAAGCAAACTAACTTCAATAGAAGCTCCTATTTCACTTTTGTGCTAGGAGAAGACAGGACCACCATCAAACAGGGAGCTTTATGGGTCAAATAGCTTTTGAGAAGCCATTGACCTAATAGTTGTAACTGTATCCATTAACTAGTAAAAACTGATGGAAAATAAATGGCAGACAAAGTGGATCAGATTTTTACTGTTGGTGGAAAATATGATTAAAGTAATGCTGGTAATTTGTTGGCAACTTGTAAACCAGAAATCCTTTAATCCTCAACGGTAACAGAGGCCATTTTCAACCAATGTAATGACTAATCAGATTCAGTAGCATAATTGATATTTAATTGTGAAATAATAAGTAATTAGAGCAATTACTATTGTTTTATTGCTAGGTCAGTTCCATACTTAAGGTATTGGGACTAGCTTTTAAATATATTGCTTTTAACATTGAAGTGTAATTACTTTGAAAATGTGTGTATTCTTAAAATTATTTGAAAAGAGATTAAAACTAAATTAGGCATAAAATAATCTAGGACCCCTTAAAAAGAAGAAGAAGAAGTAGTAATTCAGTTCCTGAGTATATGGGTGGCATTGATGTCCCCATGCATCCATGATTATGGCTCCAGGAACCCCTGCCTTCGCTTTTTATGCATGCAGACCATGTCTCATGCATCTCATCATTAATAATGTTTCAAAATTTACACCAATGATCGTCATGAAAAGAAAAGACTTATTCTCACCATTGTTAGTTCAAATTTTCCATTGTTGGGTTAGACGAGATTTTTATCTTACATTCCTTTCCTGTAGATTTTTTTTTTTTTTTTTTGTAAATAACTTTCTGAGTTCTGACTTCGGAGATTTAGCCAGAAAAGCAGAGGAAACATTGGATAAAAGCTAAAGAAGGGTGATGATTGAGAATGGAATAGAGGAAAAAGGAAGATTGAAAATCAAAAACCATGGGAGGGTTTTCTAATTCTTCTCATTTCTCCATGAATGACAGATTTGCACACAGAATGTGTCACGTGAGAGAGATTATATATAGATCCTGTTTTTTGTTTGTTTAGACTATAAAATATATTGTGAATCTTTCCTGGCCCTGGCTATGTTGGATGTTGGTTGTGTTGCAAAGAAAAGAAGACAAGTTGGGGATGGTGACTCTGTTTATTTAGTTTCAAAATAACAATGATGATAGCAATGACTCTAATTGATCTCTGTCTCTTTCCAGCTATACTTCCCATGTGACTCAGAAAAACACACACGCACACACTTCAAAAATCAATGTCACTTCCTCGCAAGACCCATAATTAACTCTAATTCAGCCTGCTTATTGCCTAACAATTTAAATTTATAATTATAACAAAGTTTAAGAGCACATATAGTTAATAGTTTTTCGAACCCCTAAAAATTGTTGATTTAGTTTGACCAAACTGTACTGGAGTAAAAGGAGGTGTTAGAAAAGGTGATGACTCTGGTTTTTTTTTCTTCTGAGTAACTGAGCGAGTTATGGTTGGTCGGTTGTGTGGTTTTCCCAATGTTGGGATGGAGATTGACTCTCATCCTGAGTAAGTGATTGCCTTTTTCGCTAATAGAGTTTGTTGTCTTTTATTTGGGATTAGCATATGTAGACATTATTCTCGCGAACTGCTCTTTAAATTGCGCCTACTTGGTGCTAATGCCAGATAGGTATTGGGAAGACTTCACTTTTAAAATAAGAAATAAAACTCTTTAAATCAAGTACAATTGAGAATTTAGTGCTTCAAAGTCTTAAGTTCAAGACATGTGCATGATGGATAATTATTTTTTTTTTTTTTATATTTATAGTCATAATTTTTTTTTGTTAGTTTTTACATATTCTAAATTTTTTTTAGTTGATTTTGAGGGTCTGTGCTCATATTGATCTAATACATTTTAATTTTTTTTTTAATATTGACCAAAACTTGAATCGGATAAATTTAACCTTTTGAGGTGTACAATTACCTTATTAATAGAGAGAAATGGAGAATTAAAGTTCATTATTTTAGTTTTAACAGAACACAACAATTAGAGAACTGACGGGCCAAAAAAGGAGAAAATCAATTAGAGATCTGATCTAATCTTTTACTTGGTAAGTCAACCTTTTATTTTTCCCCAAAATATACCATGAGATTGAGATTTTCCTAATTATTTGTTAATTATAATTGTGTCTGTTAATCATTTTCAATCAAAATTGCTTGTCTAGCAATGGGTGTTTCTCTTTTTGCTGACTAATTAAGTTTTTTCATCAATGTGTTCAGAGTTTGGACATAAACCATTCTCCCTTTTTCCTAGCATTCTACAGCATTCCATTCTATCTTCTCTCTCTGTTGAACTTTTTCTCTTTTTCCCTTAACGTGTGGATCTCACATAAATTATCAATCACTAATTTTAAACCTTAAAATGAGATATATTATTGAATATAACACCATTATTTCAATTGTTGAATTAGTAAAATTACCGACCAGAATAGTTTATTTTAAATTTATAGGCACGGAAGTGAATCCTGACTCAGCAATTATAACTACTGTAAATTAAACCAGTCTCTCGTACACAGAACCCCAAATTTGAAGGCGATGTTCCATATGAGATGCTTTATTCATACAATATAACTATACTTAATTATAGAAATTTTAGACCCTATGCTAGTCCGTGAATCAATTCCTCCCAATATTAGGAGGAAAAAAATATAAGGATGTTACCAGGAGTATCATTTTTCCCACACTGCATATCTATGCCCACTGGTTGCTAAGATCCACTCTCTTTCGTTAGGAGACCAGGAACCGTCCCCAATCTTCATGCATACTTTCTCACCAATAATTGCAGCGTAAAGATTGGTCTGGGCCTCCAGAATTCTGATAGGTGATCGACTGTGAATGTCTTGACGCTTTCGAATATCCATCTGCAATTGTATTTTAGATGTTACAGAAAACTTTTGCATGGAAGGCTAAAAAAAACTAGAGGGAAATAGCTATAACATCTTACTAGTTTAACAATTTGGTCATGAATGGAGTCACCCAAATCATAAAAGTGGTCATAGAAAACTGTAGGTATCCCTGGGTGTGTAAGTATGTAGGCATAACCCTGCAGGATAACAAGAAAGAGTCATATGAAATAAATCCTTCTTTTTTTTTTCTTTTTTTTTTTTTCCCCTTTGGTTAGTAAATAAATCGTTAAATAATTCTTGAAAGCCTTTTCCAGACTAAGCCAAGGAAGAATGGGAGGGATAAATGATATCTGATGTTTGTATCAGCATGTACTATTACTATGTAGACTTGAAGTAGTGAAATCTACTGTTCTGAAAAAAAACAGATTCAGGTGGCTGTCACCGGGAATCCTTTCCCACTTGGTTAAATCACCTAGAGAGGGGCTTAAGTACTTAAATTGCATGTTTATATTTATATATCTGAAATTTAAAATAAAATATTTACTAAATGTTAAAACAGTAACAAAAAATTTCACAAAATAGGTACCAAGAATAGCTTCACATACCTCGATAATATGATTTGAAGGGAAAGGCCAGTGTGCCTGCAAGAATAATTGTTAAGGTTAGTGGATCACTGAATTCCAATTTGAAGAATAGAATCTTGAAATCTTGAATCCTTATCACTGATTTTGATTCCACATGGATCATACATACCATTGTTATTGTGCATGGATAAGAAATCTCAGCTTGGGATGAAAACGGGTAAGAACAAGCCTGGGACTGCATTGTACAGCCCATCTAGTACCGGCAAGGAAAAGGTCTTAAATGTTCTTTGTGTGTTTGTATATGTATTGCATTCTCAAAATCATTAAAATTGGTTCTGTGTAAGCTCATAAATAATTTTAGGTCATTAAAACTGCACAGCCAAAGTCAACTAGAGAAATTGGGACCTTAAATGCAGTCGGGGAAATTCCATTCATTAGGACATTAGTTGCATGCATCATAGGCAAGTATAATAGCCAACCATTTTACTGAGAAAACGATGTGAAGTCCACAATTAAATGATACCAAGGAAAGATACGGCACCTGTGTTGATCCTGTGTCATGGTTATCAATGAATGTGACAGCCCTTGAGGGCCACCATCCCATTACACCTGGTGGCTTCCCTTGTTGGTCACGCAGACGCCAGAATTGTCCCTTTACAGCTTCCTGCAAGGCAGAAGTAATTGTCATAAAAATGAAATGCAAGTTAAAGAATAAAAGACATGTTAGCAATGCCATTAACATTACAGTTTCCATCAAGTTTTAACTTCAACAACAAAAAGGAATTATCGTGATGATGCTTATGAAAAGTGAAAAAGGACCAGTGAAGTGGTTATCTACTAAAAATGAAAGGTTTCTCTAAAGAAAGCAAAATATCATCTTTTGAATACTCTTTTGAAGAAAGCAATATATCTTTTGAAGAATTCAGGGCCACATTACATAAACTTTCCAATCCCTCCTCCATGAACAGATATTCTTAATGAAAATACCTGAAGAATGCCCTTAGTCGTGAAGTCAAAAGCAGAAGAGAGCTGTCCTGTTCCATCAATCCAATCGACAATTCGTTGTCTATGGCTATCTGCATGTAGAATTTTTTAAACAGGGAGAGCATAAATGACACCAAAAAAAGCATTTTTTAAAATATACAGTTGTGTAGCTTTACAGTTGACAAGCAGAAAAGAAATTAACACATAAACAAAACATGAATTTTATAAGAGAACGATCAGGCACATTACCTTGGTTGTAGTCCAATCCATAACTATTGTAGTTACAAGAATCCCAATACTCCCCAACAGAAAATAGTGGCTTTGCTCCTTCAATGTATTCTTTCACATATGTTGCTGAGTAACTACAGTGGAGTTTGGTAGAAGTGTAAATACCGCAAGGTAAAGAACATCAGTTAAAGCAAGGATAGAAATTTACAGGAAATTTTACCCCCTAGCAAAATCAAAACGGAAATCCTTAAAGCCAACACTACGTAACCATTGCAGCCACTTTATTATGTCTTTGCGTACAAAATCTTGGGTGTGATCAATATTTGGAACCCCATGAAAATTGTCTCCAGTACTTCTGTTACCCTGCAACACAAATGAAATGTTTTGGAATAACTCCTATTAGAGCATGCGTATGCTGCTATTTATGGGAAATAAATTTATGGCCAAGTCATTTAAAGAGTCAAATAATCAGTGAGAAGAAATTTACTACTATAGACATCCTTACCAATCCACCAGTACAGGAAGTAACAGCGTGTTCATCCCACGGCAGTGGAATTCCATCATAGCGGTTATACTTCCCCCCATGGCCTTGGGTAGTTCCAACACGATGATTGATAACTATGTCAGCCATTGTTCTAACTTTGTACTGTTGCATTTTCTGAAGTAAAATTTTTAGCAGCTGCTCAGATCCATATGCTGAATTGAGTGAATAAAGGTTCTGGGGGAGATAACCTAAATGTAACAAAGAAGAAAAACTTGAATATGAAAAGAAGTCCTAGGAGATGTAGAGTTGACAAGAGTAATTTAGAAAGCCATATAATATCTCTAACCTTCAGGTGAGAAAGAGTGAGTTGGTGGAGGCAACCATGCAGATGTAAATCCTGAATTTGCAATGTCAGGAACTTTCGTCTCCAAATCTCTCCACCAGTCATATTTATGAGACTCCCAGTTAAAAGCCTGTTGAACAAATTTTAATACTTCAGAGTTCTTCATGTGTCGGCAGTCAAATCAAAGTAAATGAAGAAATTATATGCAAGCATCTCCATTGATTTTTTTTCTTTTATAAAGAATACCATAGTGATAAGACGTTGTAAATAAAATTTCTTGCTGATATGTATGTTAGATATTAGTCAAATTTAAGATAAATGTACAATGTTGTCTAACAAACATATAAGCCCAGGATTTAGAATTAGAAGATAACATTGAATTTATTAACTCAACAAAGTCATCACATTTTCTAGAAAAACTCAGAGAACATTTCAAACTTACCTGAAAAAGGATTTCTCTTCCATCACGTATCACAGCACCTGAAATTAAATCCAGAAGCACACTTTAGAAGCATGGGGAAAAACATCCATTTCTTCTTTCACAACCCAAATCCTAAAGTAGATAAGATTACATGTCAAATCTTCATCTCAACTTTTTTGTTGTTATAAATTCTATAGGGAATAAAAAATCTTGGAAGCATCCAGTCCAGTCCCCCCCCTGAGTTTGGAAGTTAAAACACCATAAACCATAACTTACAGGTGAACAAAGAATTGCAGATAAAGAAGACCAACATCATAATGAGACATAGAATACCTGCGGCCCTTACAGTCAATTTTGGTCTTTAATTCCCTCAGCCATTCTTTCAGTAAGTAGAAAGCCAAATCTTCAAATAATTAAAATTTAAAAACTGAAAAACCATTTGTAACATGAAATCCACCCTAGACAGAGTAGAGGCAACATTACAAAATATCCATAAGCAAATTTCAATTTTTTTTTTTTTAACCTAAAATAATAGACTTTTATCTTAGTCAAAAAGGCAACCAAAGATACTCAAAGGAAAAAGAATGGGCATACCCACATCAACCTGTTGATCAGTATCATCAAAATTCTGCACTTCCACAAAAGAAAAAAAAAAATTTACATAAAAGCAATCAATTAGCATCTAGAAGAAGACATAAGAAATTCTGTAGCTTACTGCTCCAAAATGAAATTAATGATAGAACAAACTACACAAAGGGGGAAATGAAAGCAAGTTGCATACATTGTTCAAGTAATCCATATCAACTCAAATGATAGCCACAGCTGAGATTTGACACCGGAGGGAAAACAAGGCACAGAAACACCCTGCATCCACAACCAACTCAATTTTAACTCGAGTTTATTTCCTCATTCTCCTCAGATTTGAAAAGAAAATGATAAAAATAAAAATAAAAATAAAATGAAAGAAACTCTTCTTTGGATCCAATCTACTATCAGTTTCTGATGAACAAAAAAGGAAAAAAAATCTACTTACAGTCAAAGTTGGAAAACAAAATCGCAATGCATTCTTAACCCAAGAACCAATTAGGAATACTCGATTCTCTAATCAACTCAGAGATGTTAAATGTTAATCAATCACGCAATGCAATTCAAAGATGAGAAGATTGGAGAATAGATACAATAATACCAGAAATGCTGAGGTTGCGGTCGCAGCGTGGATTGGTTCTTCCGATTGTGGCCTGTAATTAGGATGACAGTGGAAGAAAAGGGAGAAAACGACCAGAGAATTCGAATCGCAAAGCTGCATCAAGAGGATGAGAAAGGGAGAAGTGAGTATGAAATTCCAATTGAGGAAAAGGGAATCAGCTTTTGGGGAAGGAGGAGAACAGACTCATAAATTTTCCGAACATTTGAAATAGAAAGCGGGACCGCGGTGAGTCGTTGACTCGGAACGTTTAGATGGAGAGTTTAGGAGAAAATTGAACAGCTGGGATTGAAGATGTAGAAGAAGGGACTAGCTAAACGGTTGAGATAGCGCGGTATAGGATTGGTGATGATGACGCATTTTAACGGCGGGAAAGCATAGGGAGTAAGCTAGGAAATTGCTTAAGGGGATGAGCCGATGAGTGTTGTGTTGCTCGGTCTTCCTCAAACGGATGCGGAGATAATAGATAGAGATGGCATAGTCGTGATAGCATGGGCTGCTCTGCTTAACAACTAACACTGTCTGTTTGGGTTGGGGAAGTTGGAGAGAGAGGGAAGGAGAGTGAAGGGCAGTAAAGGGCAGAGGGTATTTTGATAGTTTAAATTAATAATTTTAATAGAGAGGAATGGGATGAAAAGAGATGAAATTATTTATTTTTTTGTTTTAAATTTATCTTATTTAGAAAGGTTATAATAGATT